CGAAAACTCAGACACCGAAAACTCAGATCTCTCGAAGTGTTCTCCAAGCTTCCGAAGTGTTCCATAATTCGATAGTGCATAGCATAAAGCATGCAACAAATCATACTTACATTTGATTTTACCCACCCATTTATTTGTAATGCTATTGACATTACAGTTCTTATACAATCTACTTCATGGTGATCAGACTGTCACATTCGGCTGTAAATACTGGTTATGCGCATGCGTCTAGCTATCTCATGTGATCCCTTGGTGCACTTTGATGACTCGATAGAATTCCAATCAAACCTCAACTTACAGGTAAGTCTCGTTTAATCTTTCAATTCTATTGTTACACTCACTCAACCACTCATCTGGACAACATATGTGGCTTCGCTTCCATACATGGGGGGTAGTAGCCACAACAAAAACAGTAACGTGGCCTTAAAAATCTTTGCCGAACCATTTACTTTAATAAAGGAACTACTTGAATGATACTTGGAACAGCTTAACAGCAAACAATTTGATAGTAATCGTAATATTCAAGACGAAAGTAAAGCAGTTTATTGCATTTGAAATTAGTCATGGTCCAGTATCCTTAATCAGAGTCAACTCTGGCTTAATCAAACAAAAATATTGTTCTTCAGCCATCAGTAATAAGATATGATGTTTACAATTCCACTGTAGTGTAAATCTCCATCATATTACGAGGGAGACGGTCATAACTGTTTTCTTTAGTGTATTTTACATAAAGTGAATTTTCAGTATCATGTGCCTAGGCGCTTTTCTTGGGCGTGGAGAATCAATTTGTGCATACCATTACTAATTACCTCTATTTAAATATCACGCAGCCCGAAAGTTCGAGAAAATCCAATGGTGTTTACTACAAGACGAGTAAAAGCTACCGAGCTTAATATTTGCTTAAAGGTCGTTTTTTTTTATGGTCTGGTTTAGACAACGTTTTAAATTTAGAAAGATTTCATTCATCGGCAATGATCAAGGAAAACAACCTGTGGAGGGATTTTTTTAATTATAAAGTGCTCTTCTTGTATCTATGAAGTTTTCAAAATAAGTTGATAGCGACTGGCGACTTGACTTCCCCGAAGGAAATAGATATCACTTCGCAAGATACGGATATTTTTTCATTCAGGAGTCTGAACTCGTATCAGCTGTCTTCCCCACACAAGTTAGACTAAGGTCAGCCCTTCCGGCTTAGATTGTGGCATTAAAAGAAACTAGCCGAAAAAGTAAAAAGGCGTCGTGCCAATTTTGCGATTTGAACAAACTCAGGTGACATGCAAGCTGGGCTGGACCTTTACGCGTTACTAGAAGTCGTTAGACGCAGTGACTCAAATGTATGACCGAAGCGCGCCTATTAAGGAGNAAATTATAGAATCTACATCACCTTTGCTTTGATCAGCTCGTTTTGATTTTCACCGCACCCACCAGATCGGATTGATCAGTTGTAATGCTCAGTGACGCTTATCCTTGTATCGCGGTCGGAAGGTGAACGGCGAATAATAAGAAATAGAAAAAAGAAAAATGATTATTCATTAGGCCTATTCCGGATTACCGTACCTCTGGCCTCTTTTTCAAAACGAGGCCTGGTGCTCGACCATTCTTGTGAATAGGAGTTTAATTTGCATGTGAATGAAAACTTCTTATATGAAAGTGAGCATCAGGACTCGCTTTGTAAAAAAGAGGTTGAGGCCCGGTTCAGACGTCGTACTTTAGCCGAGCCGAAGCGAATCCAACGAATTAAGTTCACGTGTAGTACGGCCTCTGAATCAATTCGGAACAGCTGATTTAGTTAAGATGCCATCTGACCCAGCCGGGAAGAACGGCTGTAGACCGGCTTTGATGATTCAAACGCCGTAATTCACATGAGCCGAATCAAATGCATAAATTATTTTAGGGTATTTTTCTAGCCGTTCTTTCATGTGGGCATGCGCAAAGGAGTGTTGCAGAAAAAAAATGGCGGCTTGAAGGGCCGAGCAAAACGATACTGACAGACATTGAATGGGCGCCCTATTCTACGCCTTTCGAAATGACACTTATTCTTCGATCTATCGGTTCTTTGGGCATTATGTAATTGTCCTCTGCGTCAGCAACGTCCTTTCCCGCCTCTTTTGCGTACCGCTCGCAAAAAGCGACGCTTTTATCAGCATGGTAGTCTTTGTTTTCTTCATTATTGAACATTTATTGCATATTGGAATTTCACATCTCAAGCAAGTATATTTGGTCGCGCCGAAACACTTACTGATCAACTGCCGAACTTTATTCAGGTATATCTTTAAAGAAGTGACCAAACATGACTAAAGTACTTAAAACTTCTTTACAACGACCATACCATACAAGTAACTTTCGTTCTTTATAGTCTTTATAACACTTATCGAATTTTGTTACTTTGAACTACGCCAGCCCCGGCCACAAATTTTCTTCAGTTAATTAATATCGGCCGAAATAAGTTCGGCATCTGAATCAATTCAGCCAGGATTAACTTATTCAGGTCGGTCCAAAGTTGAATTCGATTCGGCTCGGCTGAAATATGGCGTCTGAACTGGGCCTAAAGGTAATTCAGAAAATGGGCTATTCCAAATCACGGAATAGTTTAATTGGCTAGAAGGGGAGATAACATATGGCTTTAAACATAGTCTTACTAACACTTTCAAACTGTCGATTGTTTTCCTAATTATCAGACTATGATTCTTCTTGCATTAAGGATTATTTTGTATTCTTGTCCTAGAACTAAACACTAATGGAGATTTTCAGTTCATATGTAGTCTGATCTGGGCACAAAGAGGCTGTAGAATGTGGTAGTTTGGAAAATATGGAATGCCGGAATGCCGTGCCGGAATACCCGGAATTCCCGGAATAACCGAAAAATAATAAATTAAAAAAAAAATAAAAATTAATTAAAAATCAAAAATTAATAGCAAATTCACAACTTAATCAAATAATTTAATGCGAAATTTATCTCTGAGGGTCCCGAAAAAAAAAAAAACACTTACCAGAACTGTTCTTGGAGATGCACGTATTAGAATTTAAAAACGTCTGCGTCAGGCCAGTAGCCCATACAGCCTAAGCGACGAAATATTTGTAGTCTCCCTTCCCCCTGGATGGGATGCTAGTCCATCACATGCATGGTTACTCCCCGTTTTAAATTCGCCTCCACACATTTACACACCTGTGGGATGTGTAGGGTGCAATGACCATTAAGCCGGCACGCTTTTCCAACCGGAACCATTGCATAAGATTAAACAAATGCAAGATTTCCAATTAGTTTAATAGTTTCAATTTTAAAAATCTCCGAACTATTACAAATTAATACTCTACTTTAAATAATTATTAACCACACATTGGGAGCTATCAAGGCAGCTACCAGCCGTCTCCAGTTAAAATTGAGAGATCGTCAGTTACTCGACACCTTTTCGCGTTAATTATATATACCTTCGAATATAAACCTTGTACTGATGGATTATTCTAAACAAGAAAAAGGACAAAAAAAGGACTTACTCCTCGGTCGTCTCTGGAGATGGTAACATTTTTTTCCAATTACTTTTTTATGGTTGTGGTCTCACTTGAATGTTAAATTTGACCCACCAGGTGGTCCGTTGTCTTTATTGGTGGTATTCCCAGCGATTCCGAAGTGTATAGGCACTGTTTATCAATTTTTTCTTAATCTATCTCTATTTGTAAACCACATAGAATCGAGTAGTTCAGAGAAAGAGCTGGAAAAAAGGGGAAAATGTTCGGAAATATTAAATAGCTTGCACAGCACTTATTAGAAGCTATCACAAATAAAAAGCAAATGGATACAAGAGTACTTATCGGAAAAGATTTAATCCACCAATATATGCTAATGCTGTTCCCTAAAACAACAATTATCGATTGTTAAAACTACGCGAACAAAGCGTCATATTCAGAGGCAGTAATTGTGGTCTCCCCAAGTCTCTTATCTCTTCGGCACACCTTTAATACACAAACGTGGATTACTGAGCTTAAAAGATATTTCCAGACAGAACAATAATAAAAAGGGAAATCAGTGTGTTGCTATCACACAAGACAGAGGATGATTTCTTTCCTTTCCAGACAAGAGCAACTTTTTTTGTTGTTAACAGTTTGTGGCAATTGAAATAGTTCCAATGGAAAAA